GGGGCCGCGGCACCCCGCTCCCCTCCCCGGAGATCCCGAAGGCAGGCGCAGCCCGCGGTTGCTCCCCAGGAGCGGGCACCGGCAGAGGAGCGGCACAGCCCTGTTTAGTCCAAGTATCAAAACAGGGCAATAAAATACTCCTGCAGCAAGAGATGCTGGAGGTGAAATGGCCCTAAAGCTTGTTTCGCCTTTTAAAAATAAACACAATTTTTTGCTCTTTTGTCACTGAAAATAAGATGACTTCCAAGCGTGTGTCAGATGATACTGGGAAATTTTATTTTTAGGAGTACTTTGAAGTTGCATTACTAAGTTTGAACGCAGATTTTTTTTTTTATTACAGAAAGAACCTTCAGAATAATGTTGAAATATCTTTAGAGTTAAAGTACTTGAATTGAATTTTTTTCCTGCCTTACACGATGAGGCTGGACACAAGCCAGCATAGGAGGCACAGGTCACAGGATACAGAGATCATTAGGCCGCTCTGGATGCTGAGAAAACAGCCATTAAGGGGCTAGCACTCTGCTTTTTGTGAGGGACTCGGTGAACTTCCAGGCTGACAATGTTTCTAACCCCAGAGATGAGAGGAACGGTTAGGAGAAAAGAAGGGTCTCAGCTTTGATTTGTAAGGTCTTGTCATCTCATAGTGGATGGGGGAGGGAGAGGATGAGACGAATGTGAGATGCTACAGCAGTTAAAATGTGAGGTTTTGGTTTAATGTAGTTTTATTGAGGTTTTTTCCATTGCAAAGTTTTCCTTTGATTAAATGCTTCCATCATTGGAAACTGTGATATTTGTCAGATGTAATTGATTTTTATGTTGGCAAATTAAATCCCTTATTAAGTCCAGGTGTTGTTTCTTACTGGCATAGCAGGTGAAGCCATGGTTTCTGACATTCTGTAGCTTACGTATGGCTAACTTCTTATTTTTCTGGATGATTACGCTGAGTGTAGCTAACAGTGCCTTTCCTGTGAGAACACGGGATGTAATCTGAATAGTCAAGTATGGTGAAACCTGTTGCAGTGAATATGCTTGAGGGATAAGTTTACCTTTTGCTAGTTAATGCCTCAGTAATACCTGAGACTAATTAAAATGACATGGTAGCATACCAAACTTTCTACTAAGGAAATGTCTATTTTTCATAACTTGTTGTGTATAGTTAAATTCTAAAGCGATAAAAGTAGGCTGCACTTCTCTCTGTGCTTAGTAGTGTTTCAGTTGTTCTGCCCTTCAGTAAAGAGAGAAGCTTTGAAGGAAATGGAGTAATTTGATGAAAGAAGCTTATTAGAAGTACATCCTGCTGGTCTCTTTAAATGTTTCAGAACTCTAGGCTTTTTTCCATTGTATTTACTGCTAAAAATGTTAAGGTGGATATGAAGAAAGAACTTCAATGTGGAATAGTCTTTCTTGAAGCACAAGAATCTAGATGCTTGTAAAAACAGTGGTCTTGTCTTTGCCAAAACCTTGTGCCCACCCAGTATACTTTAAGGAGTCTCTTAATTCATGGCATGTTTTGATTGCAACAGCAAGCATTGATTGCAACAGCAAATGCAAGATTCAATGCTATATTTGCCTCACTTAACTTTGTCAAAGAAGGAAAGTTGCTTTCTTCCCTGTCCCTTGCTCTTTTGCCCAAGATAACTTTGAACTCTGCCTTTCACATCTGGGAGGAGTTGGGAATATGAGAGACAGGAAATAATATACCTCTGTGACTGCTTGTGCTACCAGTTCGTGTACTAAGCACAGCCGAGGCTTTCTTTAAGAAATACTGAACTTAGCAACTTCATGTATTATGAGATCGAAAAGGGCTTTATCTTTGGAGAGCAAATCAAGGTCTTGCCTACACTTGAAAATTGTTAGGAATTTCTCAGCCATATAATTTGTTTTCCTTAGACCTCTTCTTGTTATTACTGGAGTTAACATAGAGTTAACTAGAGTTAACATATGGGACATGTATTAACTCATATGTGTAGTATAATGTGGAAACAAGCTTGTTAGTTGGCTTTCTTCCCCCCCTTATTTCTCTGACCATGACAATTCTTTGACAAAAAGCTCTGAGAAATGCTTGCATGATAAAATTATTTTTGATGCTTTTGTTTCCATTTTTATCTAATTTGTAATTTTTGCACTTTGATTGAAGACCAAGCATCGGTGGATAGTCAAAGTTACAGAACAGTCCTGATGCTCTATCAGTGTCATATGATTCTACAAAGTGCGGTTGGGTAGATGTTGCAAATATGAGATAAATAACCAGAATTTTTAGACACTACTTACTAGCTCTCTGTAGGGTGAATCCAGGACTTGTTCCTGGAATATCAGTTTCATTCCGTGTGTGAATGTGGAGTCCCTAGAAAAATCTGAATAACAAAAGGATGATTGGATGTCTCCTGATAAGCAAGTATCTTCTTAATGAGAAAATGGTGAGGAATTAAAACCTGGAGCAATATCTATGGGAAATATTAAATTGGTGGAGAACTGATTACTCTAGGCACTACAATAGTTATATACTGTACCGTGGGGTAATGGCATGTTTGTATTTATGTGAAGAGAACTAGATACTTTAGTAAAATCATTTTTGTAGAAATTAACTTCTATATAAAATAAATTACTTCATGTTCCACTTAAGTTTGGCTTTTGGTCTAACTCCAGATTTTAAATCAGGTGGCTAAACTCACCCTAGTGATTAATGTTTGGTGTTTTCCCCCTCCCCCACTTTCCTCAATATGTGTCATCAGTATGTTTATTACCTTGATTTTAACTGGCCTTGGCAATGCAGTTGCAGTCAAGACATCTGTTATCATAGAATGTCCTGAGTTGGAAGGGACCACAAGGATAATCGAGTCCAACTCCTGTCCCTACAATCCTGTCCCTGTTATCTTTATCACCTTGTTCATTTGAAACAGCTGGATTTTAGTACCGTTAAGAGTTTGTAAAATTATTTTAGGAGCTCTGAGCAGAATAAAGTTCTCAATTGGGAAGAACTTTTAAAAATAAGTTGCTTTTTTCCTCCTTGTGCTTGAAAGCCTGAGAAATATCAGCCACACTGTCTTTTATTGCTATTTTTCTATTAGCTGATCTTTGGAATTTTTTTTTTTTGCAGTGGACCAACTACATTCATGGGTGGCAGGATCGATGGGTAGTTCTGAAAAGCAACACACTCAGTTATTGCAAGTCTGAAGATGAAACAGAGTTTGGCTGCAGAGGGTCTATCTGTCTGAGCAAGGCTGTGATTACAGTAAGTGCTATTTCATTACTGCCATCTTGTCATGTTTTGGGATGTTACATATTTGTAGGCTAATGTTTGGTGAAAGCAAACATGGGTATGGCAAATTCTATTAGGTCATCTATTATGCAAGTTAGTGGTACCAGTGGAACACTGTGGAGCGGGGCAAGGAGTTCCTATTAAGAAAACAAGCTGTTCTCATTTGCAGCTGCAGTAAGCAGCTTTTCATCTCTTGTGTTAGCGGTTTCTGTGGGCAGGGATACAGTTTGCCTCTGGAGGCTGCAAAGTCTTTCCAGGGGTTCGCCTAAGACCCTGGACCAGCTTCCCAAAGGAGGTACCATCTGTCACAGTCTTTACGCTTTGCACTAGAGAGACAGGGTAGTAGTTCTTTGACTGTACCTTCTGAACATGATGCTGTAGAACAATTCCAAAATAAAATGTTCTAGCACATGCTTCCTCCTCCGAAGAAGTTAGTGTGTTGCTGTTTTTGTCTAATGCTACAAAATCTGGTATTGCACTGGTAGGAATAAAGAGCCTGTGTATAAATGAAATCTCATAAAGATGAATTGGCCTTAGAAGATGAAGAAAAATATCTGCTTTTTGTGTCTTTCAGAATTATGATAAATAAAGCATGCTGTAGCTTTTCTATGTTACTGTTAAATAGTCTGGTTAATGTGATTTAGGGAAAAAACAGCTGGACTTCTGCGTTCCTAGAGTAGTAGTGTTACATCTTACTATTTATGTTCTTATTCCACCAAATGTGTGTTTTTCAAACTGAATTAAGGGTGACAAATGAGAAGGTTTTTTTCTTACTAATATTCAGCTTACAAATAGAATTTTATTAAACACATCTTGGTTTGGAAAAAAAAAGACTGGATTGATTATGTGAACTGTATGCATTTTTGGAAAAAAGCTTGTAAAGAAAAAGCAGGTTTTTACATTTAGATGTCTGACAGGTATTGCAGTCATGTAAAAATTAAAACAGATCACCTCATTTATTTTAAAACTTTTTTAAACTGCTTAAACTTTTAAAACTTGCTCAAGATCTGACTTACTCAGGAATATATGGTGCATGGCAGTCTCTAGGAATGCTGACTTACGTGTACTTTTGGCAGTCTGTAGTAGTACCAGCCTCTGATCAGGACTTCCAAAAAGGTCTCAAGTTCACTAGCAAGAGGCTTAACATGCCAGACAGAGACAGGAAGGTAGTGGCAAGGAGGTAGGCCAAGGGACATCTGGAAGTATGCTGTACAGCACATATTAGCAGCCTGAATTCCAGTTGTGGTGGTGGAGTGAGAGATTATAGGGATGCTGCTATTGCTGCTGGAATGTTTTGATACATTGCGCTTTGTGAAGGGAAGTTGGCGAGCTTATCTTCTGACTACGAAGTGTGTAACACTGGAACTTCTTACAGATAGCTTTTTTCCTCTTCTATCTGGCACTTGTTACATCTGGTAACTTGGAGCTGAATCGTATTTTTTTAGTTCTAGAGCTTCTTGAATACATTGAGAAAGAAACTACAGAGTTGGAGAAAATAAAAAGTGGGTACAGTTCTAAAAGCTGACATTTTAGTTGTTCCATTTTCATTCAGGCTCGTGCTTTGTGAATGGTATTTGACAGTTTAATTGCTTGATTGTGGTTTGATATGGCATCTCTGAAACCTAGTAAACTCTAATTATTTCTAGCTGCAGTTAAAGTGATTGTTGTGTAAGTATTAGAGGTTCAGGAATACTATTGGATCATTTCATGTCTCTAGGATATAGAAATTTACTTTTGAAACTGTCATGTGATTATTCTATCTCTTATGTTTCAGAAGTCATTGTTCTAAGCTAGAGTTTTAGCATGAGTGCTTCTGGTTCGATAGTAGTTTGGTAGCAAACAGAATACTTTTTTTAAAACATATGTTTTCAATAGAAAATTAATTGTGCTCAAAGATAAATGGTTAAAATATTTCTCCTGAGGTACATAGTTAATCTCTACTTTCATGTCCTTGTAATGTCTTACTAACTATAAGTGTACTAGCATGTATTTAAATGCAAAGGAGAACACCAACAGTTGATAAAATAAATGTTGAGGTGATAATGTGTGAAAACTACTTTTGCTATCAGTGGAACTTACTCTTCATTGTATGTCTTGTGATTACTTTGGTAGAGAAGAGAAGTCAGGGTTCCTACTGGTTTGATGTTCAGTAGCACTGATTCCATGTCGTTGGGATCTTAATCTTGAATATTTTTCAACAGCCTTTCACTGTACTTTAAGTTTAGTTTTCCTTGATCTTGCTGATCCAGAGTCAGGCATAGTAACTACTTATCTCCTAACCTGGTATATTTCTGTAAGTTTTCCTTCAGTACAAAGCAGGACATGAGTGGTGTGAGATGGTGTTGACAGCTGTAAGGTTTCCTTGTAGGAAAGGGTGATTGGATTTTCATGAAGCTTTCTTTTAGGCACTCAGATTAGGTATACACATTTAGATTCAACAGGCAATGTAATGATTTTCTGTGTGTAATTAATGCTACTAGTAGTATAGAATGTCCATGTTTTGTTGATGTATAAGCATAAATTTGGAAAGCTGCTGACACTGAGTAGTCTTACTGTACTTTAAGCAATGAAGATCAGCCTAATGATAAGTCATAGCATCAACTGAGATGTGAATGTTGTATTCAGAAAGCCACAATTGCTTCTGCTCTTGTTTTTATCATTCCTATCACATTGGGCAGAGATTGATAGACACATAATTCTACAGGGATATTTTGAGACACTTGTCTCTCCCCTCTTTATTTAATGAGAGGAAGACTTGTTAAATTAGCTTGTTAAAAATAGCTTCTTCAGGTATTTCAAATGTAGAATTATAATGTCATCCCTCCAAAACAGGTAGGTTCCTGTGACGATAGTCTTTAATTGAATGAAAAAGATGGGGTCTGGTTGGACTACTTGCTATATTAACCACTGGGACTGAAAAGAGCTGATTTTTCTGGAATAGAGGACTAAAGAATGAATTTTTATTTTATACTCACTGGATTATATCAAGTAACGAAGTGTTAAGAAGTGGCCATATGAATTAAGTTACAGGGGAGGACAATGAAAGTCAATACATGATGCTAACTGAGTTGCTTTTAGCCAGATAAGGAGAAGCACCTCAAAGGTGTTTAATTGATTTATAACAGGGTGGGGGCTTGAACTCAAGTTAAAAGTTCTGCTATGTGTTCAAGGGATGAGAGGAAATTATGGATATTATAAAAAAGTTCATTATAAAAAGTGCAGATTTAAGCTTTGTTATATTAGTCTAGCCTGGATATCCTAAATTACTGCTGTAGTTGGTTGTCAAAGCCAGATGGCGTTTATTAAGGATACCCTTCATCACCGTGAAGTTTTGTAGTTCTTTCATTCCTAAAGTGAAACTTTCAATGGGGACTTCTGTGTACATGATCAGGAGTGGATGTTGATGGCAGTCCTGTTGTCGTGGATTCGTGGGATTCAGCTTTGGAGTTGGAAGGTCTAGGGTCTGTCATTAAAAGAAGAAACAGAAGTGCTTTGTACAGCTAGAAGTCCAACTTGCATGCAGACTGGCCTTTCAGCTTGTACAGTCTTCACCTTGATTACTGTGTCTGTTCTGATAGTGCCATTGCTGCTTTTGTACAGAGTGACTTGTAGTAACTCATGCAGTCACAGTGTGATATATCAAGAGTAACGTGGTATGCATAGAATACCTTAAGCTGGAAGGGAACTCTTGAGGTCATCTGCTGTCCCCCCCCCCCGACTTCAGGCAGTCTCACAGAAAGGCCAGCACTAATTTAATCCTCGTGGTAATTTGTATTAATAGATTTTCAAACCTGTTTACAGACTCTTAACAACAAAGTGTTTCTCTCATGAGTTCTAGGGGTTTTCTGGAAAGGATTTGGCTGGTCAGGATAGCTCTTCTGCATGGATCCATACGGAGGATCTTGAAAAATGCTTGGGGGAATGTCATGGTTGATAAATTTTAAGAATGCTCAAAGTCAGCCATGTGTGAACTTTGTGTTTTTTGTCACTAGAGGTGACTGCCTGTACAGGAAGAGTTCCAAAAGCTTATGTTCCAACTTCACCTTCAGCTTTTCTTCCAATAGGATTCATACTTGCCATGTCATTTTAATCCAGTGGTTGGTCTTTATCTTCCTTTCTGTATATATTACTGATGTAGGAAAACCTCTTAATTTCTAATTTGGTAGCTTAAATGCAATGCAATAACTGTGATGCCATGATTTTCTTCGTTTTGGTTATACTGTGATGATGCATATTTATGTCAAAATCTTAATGGAAACATGCTGTTGGTTATTAGTCTTTTAAGAACATTTTGTTGTTATTGTGTTATAAAGAGGCATTTAGACAGTTCTGTGGAAATGCCTGGACCAGGATTGAGCAATAAATTCAGTTTGCATAGTGGAGCTATTTTCAGTTATCTACGTTTGGTTTTTTTTTTCCAGAAACAGTAATTAGAAAGCAGTGTTGCTTAAGGAAGGCAGTAATGATATTTTATGTTAATATACAAGTTGCAAGCCATTCGCCTACAGAATGGACTTCTGAAGGGGTGGATTTCTTGAGTATCTATTGTGTATATCTGGAGCTCAGGACAGGCAAGAAGATAGAAAACTGAAGTCTGCCTGAGACACATTAGTGAATTGTCTTAGCTTTTTTTTTCTAAATAACAATAAATTGCTGTTGTGAAGAACTTAATAAATATTCATGTTATAAATTAGGGCTGATATAAACATGAGTTAGTTCCAGTTTACAAAACGAACAAGACCACTGTACATGAAAGAGCTGAACTGGCAGTTTCCAATTTTAAGCTTCTCATTTCCTTACACATAGTCTGAAGAAAGAATGAGATGGTTCTGTCCAGTAATCAGCCACTAATAATAAAAAACTTGCCCCACTTTTTAAAGATATGGTTAATTCCTCACTCTAGTGGTATTTCTAGTTTATTTATAGTATGATGCTGGCCACCATTAATAATTGGGCACTTGTGAGGGGAAGTA